GGGTGAAGACAGAAACACACAAACCTTATTGTGTGGAAGGAGGCAAACCCATTTCACTAAAACAGGGACACCACAACACTGCAAACTCCGAGGGCCAGCTCTGCACTCGATTCATCTTCATTATCCCCGAGGCATCACTTGTTTGACTTCCCTTCACCAGACACCTACCAGGTGGGGGACTCTGTGTCAGAGAGGAACTAGACAAGGTTGCTGCCCTTAAGACCCTGCTCACAGAATAATGAGGAGATAGCTATGGAAATCAGTATAATATACAGTAAGAAGTGGAGCTGTGCAACTGCAGACTATGAATTCAGTCTGGTGACTGGACGTGACTGGGGAATGATGGACCTTGAAGCAAGGCTTTGAAAGGCAGAGAAGTTTGGGGTGGGGGATAGTGGAAGGGCATTCAACCCCAAGGAACAGCATGTGCAGAGGCACAGAAAGAGTCAAGAGTGGCATGTACAAAAATGGCACATGCTTCAGTTTAGCTAGAGCATAGAATACTAAAAATAATGCACATTGACGTAACCTTGACTATCTCATGGAAATAAGGATAAAGCAAAGGTCAATAGTAGAGTCACATCTGATGTATGTGTATGGACGTTCCTATGGCTAGCACAAAGGGTAAAATTACATGCAATCAAAATTACCTTTGAGGATATCTCCTAAACCAGGGGTTGGCAAACTTTCTCTTAAAGAGTAAGATAAGAAATATCTTAGGCTTTGTGGGTCAAATGCTGTCTGTTGAAATTAACTCTGCCACTGCAGTGTGACAACAGCTATAGGTAACAAAGAGGGAGAGCACAGTTTGCTGACTCCTGCTTTAAACCATTGGTAAAATACGTATGTATGGCTTTGTGTATACTACTGTTGAGAGTAATTCTTCTCTATAGTGAAGTCTGAGATGCAGAGTTAGACTAAGGGAGAGAACCAAAACAAGGTCTGTGTGCAAATGTCTGGGCATCCCAATATTCTACATTTTAGAAAAGGACCAAATCCCTTACTGCGAATGACAATTAGATGGAGAATCTGGACTATGCCATTCTATTTAATTTGTTAATATGTGTTAACGGATTGCTTGGTGTGGAGAAGGACTAGTGGAGTGCATCTTAGCAGTGTCAAGTTCTCAAAGTCAACAAGTCATTTAAATGAGTGCATAATTTACTCATCAAAGAATGAGACCAAGAACCTACCCCACATTTTCATAGCAAGTGTTACTGTGAAAACCAAGGCCGTGCAAGTCAAGGCTCACCAGGTGTCTTGCTGGATAGCCAGCTAAAAGCAGGGTTTAGATCATACTACATTCATTTCAAATGCAGGAAAGTGGGGGCAAGGGAGATAGAATTTGTCATTATATTATTGAGCAACATCCTAAAAAGTCACTTTCTCAGGAGGCAGTAGAATGCAGTGGCTAAGAGCAAGGACCTGGCTTGGACACATATTTGCTGTGTGAGGCTTCTTCACCTCCCTGAGACTACATCATCATCAAGCAAAACAGGAGCAAGACCTACCTCAGAAAGCTACGGTGAAGATTAAATAATGCTTAACCATAGCAACCGTTCCGTATAGGTTACCTGAGACCAACACTTGCACACGATGGGAGAGCTGACTGAACTCGGGTGTGACTCCAGACCCCCTTCATCACACTGCTTCACCAGAGCAGAGAGAAAATGAGCAAATTCATTCAGGCAAAGCATCCTAAGGAAGGTTCTCAACAGGCTTCGGGATTAGTGTATTTAGGAAGACCACAGGGCCTCAGGTTTGAGAACTCACCTTGACAGCCTGGAGTAAAGCCTCATTCTGATTCTGCTCCTTCTTTTCTTTCAGCTTTGCTTTCCTTATATCCCTCTGTTCAGTTCGCTGGAAATGAAGTTTAGGTGCATCAGCTCTAGGGAACTTGCTTCCTCTTGTTACCACCCCACCTCCCCACCCCCCGGCTCCTAAATTCCTATTTCTGGTGTCTATCCAACCCAGGCTCCTGTGTCAAGGGATACCAGTGGCCAGATTCAGTTCAATAAGCATGTAAAAAGCACATGTCTGGGTGCCAGAACCAGCGGCAGCAGAAATTTAAAAACCTATAGTTCCTGTACCCAAGGAGCTCACATGCTACTGAGGGGAACAGACAAGAAAAGGTCTGTTATGTGCTACCCTGGGAGTGTGAACCAAGTGCTATGAACCGCAGAGGAGGGACTGACTGCCCCTTTGAGGATGTGGACTTAGAGAGGAAGATTCCATCAGGCGAGGGAGAAAGGGCATTCTCGGTGGAGGGACTGACACCGGAGTCTACGGGGCATTTCAGCTTCTCTGGTACGGTTGAAGTATAGGAAAACACACTGGAAAAACCCAGGGCAAGAGCTTATCAGAGGCTCTGGCTTTTGCACAATACAATCCATGAGAGAAAAGTGCCACCAGTCTACTTAATCTGGCAGAAACGTAATTTAGATCTCCTTTTCCTGCTAATCTACCCCAAACCAGATGATCCTGCTCTTACCCTCAAGATGGTGGATTAATAGGAATCAGCAAACTTTCTGTAAAGGGCTAGAGAGTAAAAGTTTTATGCTTTGCAGACCATGTGTAGTCTCTGTCATACATTATCAGGTTTTCTTTGTTTATAGCCCTTTAAAAACGTGAAAAATATTCTTAGTTCACAGAACATGCAAAAATAGGCCACAGGCTGGATTTCGTCCGTGAGTCAGTTTGCTGACCCCTGCCTCTAAAATACAGCACCAACCATCCCTCATCTTCCCCACAAATGCCCACAAAGGCTAAGACAGATCTTTTTTTTTCTTGTGACCAAAGTCTGCCCTTTCAGAGAGACAATGTCCGATAATTCTTGGTCATTCCTCCTCCAGTCCAGTATGCCGAGAGAGCTGCAAAAGTCCTTTCTGCTATCAGCAAGTAGGATTCCATTATCAAGAGTGCCCCACCCCATGGATGCCACTAAAACTATGTCCAATTCTGCTTCCCAGCTGACAGACACCCAACCACATTGGGTCTGGTCCACATTAGAGAATGATTAAAGATAACTTGGCCTCTGTCCCATGTTTTTACTCTGATTTCCAGGATGCAAGTGGGTGGACACGGCTTCCTGCTGTCTCACCTGAAGTTCGAGGTCTCGGCAGCCCACATCAAGTGGAGAAACCACCAGGTCGAAAGAGCCCTGAACTATGGAGGCTGCTGCCCCGCCCTTTTAAATCAACTTAGTTGAGGTATAATTGACAGATTTTAAGTGTACAGCTTGGTGAGTTTTGACAAATGCATACACTGAGTACTCATCATTCCCGTCAAGATCAAAACATTTCTATCTCCTAGAAAGTTCCCTCATGCCCCTGTGTAGTCGATCCCCCTCTCATCCCACCACTGACAGGTTTATTTTTTTTTTATTGCCAAGTAATATTCCAATGGTATGAATATATCACACTTTACTTATCTATTCTCCTGTTAGACACAAGGGCTATTTCTGGGTTACTATGAATAAAACAGGCTATTGAGCATTCTTATACAAGTCTTTTTATGAGCATGTTTTCATTTCTCTTAGGTATACCTAGGAGTAAAACTCCCGGGTCATAGGATAGCTGTATCAAACGGCCAAACTGATTTTCAACGTGGTCATCCCTTTTTCTGCCCCACTGGTTGTGGACAAGAGTTCTAGTTGCTCTGCATCTTTGCCAATATGTGGTATTGTCAATCTTGTAAACTGGGATCCCACTAAGGTTTAATTTGCATTTCCCTGATGACTAATGATACTGTGCACATTTTCATGTGCTTCCTGTATATCTTCTTTTGAGAAGGATCTGTTTCTTTTGCCACATTTAAAACTTTTTCAATATTGATTTACGTATTCTGGATAAAAATCCTTTATTAGACATTTGTATTACAAATATTTTCTCCATTCCATGGCTTGCCTTTTCATCTTAATGATGCCTTGTTTTTTAAGTTTTGACTAAGTCCTATTTATCAATAATTACGTCTTTTATGGTTAGTATATATATTTTTTCATTTTAAAAATTGAGGTGAAATTTACATAACTTTAAAAATTAACCATTAAACATTTTAAAGAATACAATTCAGTGGCATTTAGTACATTCAGCATATCATGCAATCATCAACTCTCAAGACTTTTCAATACCCTCAAAGAAAGCCCTAAGCTCTTATAGCAGTCAGTTTCCACTTCTTCCCCCTTTCCCCCAAGCCCTGGAAACCACAATCTGCTGTCCATATAGATTTACTTATTTTGGATGTTTCGTGTGTATATATATATATACATTCACATATATATACATACACATACACACACACACATATACAGAGGGTGCCAAAAAAAGTATACACATTTTAAGAAAGGAAAAAACTGCATTAAATTTGTAATACTCAATATATATCGATAACGAAAGATTAATACAAGCCATGCTTCACTTCTGCAATTACAAGAGGTGCTCAAAGTGGTTACTATCTGTGTCTAGACACTTCTCTTTCTTTCTTTTTTTTAATTTTATTGGGGAACAACCATGGTCATTGGTTGGTTATACATTGCTCCCATGCTACAATGGCATAGTTGACCCTTTTTTAGGGAGGACACAGCTCACAGTGGCCCATGTGGGGATCAACCCAGCAACCCTGGTGTTATCAGCACCACGCTCTAACCAACTGAGCTAACCAGTCACCTCCCAGACACTTCTGATTATGGCGAACTACTGCTTGAGCAATATTGACCAAAGTGTCCACTTGAATACATTTTTTTTGGTACCCCGAGTGTGTGAGTGCGTGAGTGTGTGAGAGTGTGTGTGTGTGTGTGTGTGTGTATGGATATTTATATACGAATATACATATACACACACACGAATATATATATATACACACACACATATATGTATATATATACATATACATATATGTGTGTATATATATATGGAATCATACAATATGTAATCTTTTATATCTGGCTTCTTTCACTTAGCATAGTGTTTTTGAGGTTCATCTACATTGCAGCATGTATCAGTTCTTCATTCCTTTTTATGGCTGAGTAATATTCTATTTTATGGACAGACCACATTTTATTTGCCATCAATTGATGGACACAGATTGTTTTCAGCCATTTATGAACAGCATTGCTATGAACATTCACGTACACGTATTTGTCTGAATACTTGTTTTCAATTATTTTGGGTCTATACCTAGGAGTGGACGTGCTAGGTTATATGGTAATTCTATGGTTAATTTTTTGAGGAATTGTCAAATTATTTTCCATAGTGGCTGCATTATTTTACATTTCCATCAGCAATGTATGAGGGTTTCAATATCTCCACAGTCTCCTTTAAAAAAAAAATTTCAGCTATCCTAGTGGGTGTGAAATAGTTCTTAGAACATACTTGAAATAGCTGGGTTAAAGTCTTTGTAAGTCCCATGTCTGGCCTTCCTCAGGAACAGTTTCTATTGATTTTTTCCCCCGTGTATGACCGTACATTCTTGTTTCTTTCCATGTCTTGTAATTTTTTGTTGAAAAGTGGACATTTTAAATATAATGTGGCAACTCTGGAAATCAGATTCTGTCTGTACAGGGGCTGTGTGTGCATGTTGTGACATGCCTTCAACTCTCATCCAAGCAGTTTACAATTTGGCCTTAACCTTTACTTCCTGCTTGTACAGAGCCTCCAAATCGGCCAGAGATAACAATTTGGGGCCTTCTTAGATCTTTCCTGAGCACATGGCCAGCCCTGGGCACACATGTGACTTAGATTCCCAGGAATACACTGGAGTTTTACAAAGTCATTATATAATCTCATTCCCCAGCTTTTCCTTTTAAGTTTTCTGTAAGCCTAATGTTTGCCCCAACTGTTAATCCTCTGCCTCAGGCAGCTGCAATCTTAAATAACTGCCTCTACTTTGACATATGTCCCACCAACTGCCCTTATACCCAGCCAGACTATGGCAGTCTTATGCCATTTTTTATTTACTCAAATCATAATAGCCACAAATTTATCTAGTCCTTACTATATGTCAAGAAATGTGCTAAGTTTCTCTCTCTCTCCTCTCTCTCTCTCTCTCTCTCTCCTCTCTCTCTCTCTCTCTCTCTCTCTCTCTCTCTCTCTCTCTCTCTCTCTCTCTCTTTCTTTCTTTCTTTAATCTTTACTATTTTCAAAGAGGGGACTGAGTTTCAGAAATACTAAGAAGTTACTCAAGGTTACCTAGTTCTGCCATACCCTGTCTGGAATGTTCCCGTCACCCCCACCCCCACCCGAGTAAACTCTTGCTCAATTTTCACGAGATTAGACTCAGGCATCACCTCTTCCAGCAAACCTTCCCTGCTACCCCCATCTCTGCCCTGCTCTCGGCACAGGCAAAGTTAGATACCACTACTACTTTATATCCTTGCTTACCTCTCTCGCACTATAACTATTTAATTACTTGTTTCTTTACTTCTCTGTGTCCTCCAGTGTTCCAAGGGTAGGGACTGGTTCTGGGTTTTGTTTTTAAGGAAGAAAAACTTTACAATGACCAAAAAGACACAGTCTGGGGAATGTTAATTAATTCATTAATGCTAGTTAACAAATGACAACTGGCTACTGATTCTGCCACCAACCTTTAGTTTGTCTGCTTTAGCCCTCAATTCCAGAAGCTTCTTCTCTTTGGCATTTATCTGCAGCCCCTTATCGCACCAGTTCACAGCGTCAGCAAAGTTTTTCAGTTCCAGATGGCATAAGGCACCTGCAGAACCCAGAACCCTTAGGATTCATGGACAACATGCATGGAAAGAGCCCCCCTTAAGCAGGAACCCCCACCTCCACCAACTACCAGCCAGCACCCTGAAGGGGAAAATGGATGATAAAGCCCTTTATATTGCATTCCCGAGAGTAGGAAGACTATTTTTTGTACCTTAGATCAATAAGATCTCTAGGATCCATTCAGGTAGACACTCCTGTGAGCCTCCCTAATATTAAGGACTCTTAAAATAGGGATGGTTACAGCTCAGAGGCAAAAAGCACAGGCTTTGGAATCAAAACAGATTTGGGCTGGAAATATGGCTCTGTCATTTACCAACTAGGCATTAGACAAAAGACTGAACATGTCTGAGGTTCAGGTTCCTCATCTGCAAATGAGAAAAATAAAGTCCATCTCAAATGATTTTTCTAAATGGTATCAGAAAGCAGAATTTGCCTCAGCCATTCAGTGGGAAAACCAATGACAACAGGACTCTCCTAAAATTGTTCTTGATGGCTACCAGTTTAATCTGCCTCTTCTTTAATTATGTTTAATTTTCTCCAGTCATCCTCTTTAGGCTTTCCACAGAATTTCAAAATATGNCCCCCCCCCCAACACACACACGGCACTGGAGCAGTGCACCCCTCCCACTGCCCCATACTTATGAAGATAACTATTGCACAGATATTGGCTTCTAAATACCGTTTTCCACTAAAAAGAACCAGGGCCCCTTGAGAAAAATGGCTGATTCCAGAGCTGGGACAAGAAAAGTACAATTTGGACCAAAACATCTTGTACCAGAAAGCAAGGAAGTGCTTAAAAAATTGAAACAAGTCAAAAGGACACGAACAATTTGAAGGGATTCCCACTGGTCAAACCTGAGACAATTTGAATACAATAGTAACAGATTATGACAATGAATATAATAGGAAGCTATAAGTCCAATGATATAAATAAACAATTACATTGAAGGTTTGATAAACAATGGGATGGATACAAGGTGTCATCACAAAATACAATGAATGTTTAAATTTTTAAAAATTGTATTACAGTAAAAGACACATTACCATTAACCCCTCTCAAAATACTCCCTCTCACTTCAAACAAACATACCCCACCGTTCTTGCCACTTTCTGAAGCAGTTCTGGAAGTCCTCTTTCATGTCTTTAGTTGCACTGTCGTGGCTGCCTCAATGTCCTGAATTGATTCAAACTGTTTTTCTTTTCATGGTCATTTTGACTTTGGGGAAGAGCCAGAAGTCACATGGTGACATATCCAGTGAATAAGGTGGATGAGGACACACTGTAATGTTTTTATTTGACAGCAACAGCCATACAAGAAGCGTTGTGTGAGTATTGTTATGATGGAGGATGAATTAAGACACTCACGAAAGAGGACTTCCAAAACTGCTTCAGAAAGTGGCAAGAACGATGGGATAAGCGTGTTTGAAGCAAGGGGGAGTATTTTGAGGGGGGATTAATGGCGATGTGTCTTTTACTGTAATAATTTTTTTTATTTAAACATTCACTATATCTTTTGATCACACCTTTTTACCACAATTTTTTTAAGGGCATTCATCCTCCTCCCCTCAAAAAATCTCATAGAGGAACAAAATAAAACTTCTCTTACCTCTAAATTATCAGGGCAGTATTTATGCTCTGAGTCCCAAGAGGGCGTTTCACCAAACATCACCATTAGATGATCAATAAACCTAAGGATATAACATGTACTTTCTGGGTATCAATAACTCATGATCTACTTTCCCACATCACAGTCCCCGGACACCAAATCACAGAGATATCAGAATATATAAAACATGAAAAGGAGGCTTAAGCCATTTTGACAACAGTGCCCAAAATGTGTATGTGTATCACTTGTCCTATTAAACATGGTCATTTTCTTTAAACTGACACAGGCTTACCAACATTCCTTACACTTAGCCACATTCTAAGCATCAACCCTATGAAGTCACATGTTAAAACTGCTAGTTATATTTTTTCTAATATACACTTCAATTATTATGCACGTACCACCTCCAATGATTTCCTGTCTCACTAGATATGTAACAGTGCTGGACAGACACTGGACTGCAGTGTTCTACTTCCTAGCCCAGTCTGTACAATGGTGAGAGTGTCTATCACTGCAAAGCCAGTTAGTAAAGGGAGAAATCAGCTACAGGGTAGAGGTTATGCCAAACCAGACTGAAACCCTCTATACTATTCTCCCTCCTCAACCCAAAATCCACCTGTCCCTCCTGCAGGCACAGCAGGAAAAGAGCATGCAAGCAAAAGCAGAGGGCTCTTGGGCAAGTAAGTACCTGGAGTCCTCGTGAAAAGCAGAGATGAAGTCCGACTGGGCATACTCCGGGTACAAAAAGAGCACAGGCCAGCTCAGTCTGCCCTGGTCATCCACACTCAGCCTGGATCCACAGAAGTTGTCAAGACTGAGCCCATCCAGGAGAAGTTCACCTCGACCTCCTGAAGCTGAATCTTCATCCTCACCGGCAGCTTCAGAGACTACCCGGATGTTCCTAGCCTGGGGTGAAGACAGAAACACACAAACCTTATTGTGTGGAAGGAGGCAAACCCATTTCACTAAAACAGGGACACCACAACACTGCAAACTCCGAGG